AAAATTCTAGAGTTCACAAACATTGGCCTCTGTCGCTTAGAAAATTTGAAAGGAGTTAGGGCATTGCAAGCAGAGAAGGTCCTTTCCAGTCCTAGGAGGCAGCTTCTAACAGCCCCCAGGATGCTAGACACCATGTCTCTCTCCTGTCATAAGGACTCTTCCCAAAGGCAGAACCAAGGGTCAAGGTAATAATTACTGACAAAGCCTCAGACATGCAGCATTGCTTGTCCTTTTATTCTGAACATTTTACACCTTATTCCCATGATATTTGAGTATAATGCTGTGAGGTAGTTCACCCTGTCCTCATGTCACAGCTGAGCTATGGAGGCTCCACAATATGTGGACACCTGCCCCTGGAAACAGGGTCATGTGATTAAACCCAGAGGAGGCAGGACTGCCCCAAAGCTCAGCTATGCTCTAAAGAGGACCACCATACTGGAGGCACCAACAATGGGGGATGCTCCAGGATTTAGGCAGAACAAAGGAAGACTGAAAACACATTAGAACTTCTATTATAAAATCCTTCCTCTTACCTCTTCTGATGTCCTTTGTACATTGTTTTTATAAACTGCATAATCTTATACATATTTGTTAACTGTGTTCTCAAAAATTTTACTGAAAGAAAGGAATGTGCAAAAGGGTTTGGAAATCCTCTGTAAAGTAGCAGTCTCAGAGGGGGCACCATCAGCTATAAGCAGCATCTGCCTGGGAGGCACCCAGCAAGAAGCTGCTCCATGGGTAGGGAAGTAACTCTAGGCCAATGAAGAAGCCACCAGGCAGTCTCCCCTGGTTTATTCAGCCTCTGCTGCCCCCTTGTGGCCATCACGTGGCAGTTAGAAACAGCACTTCCCAGCAGGAGCCTGACAAAGGAATGCAGTCATACAGACTGGAAAGCTAAGAAGTCTGGAAGGAAGCAAAGAAAATAAGACAGAACACTACATGCTGTTGGATTCTAAATTTATAAAGTTAAAGAATGGACAGATGGTAGCTATGGTGACAGAAGCTACATGAAGAGTTGCCTTCAAAGTTGAGGGATGTTTAGGACATGAAGGAACTTCAGGGAGGGACCTTGGTTGGGAAGCTGCCCCATTCCTTGATCTAGACTGGTTAGTTACACATGGGTGCACACATGTAAAAGTTCCCATGCTGGGTTGAGATCAGTTCTTCTCGTTTTTGTGGTATGCCTCAATTTTAAACAACAAAAAGCCTTCAGAGTCAAAGTGCTGATGGGCAGCAGGAGGTCACCATGGTCACAGCACAGGTGAGACAATGTAGACAGAATCCTGCTTCTCACATAATAGTCCTGGGTCCTAGTCATGGCTCTTCATAAGGTCATCTGAGTGCCAAACTCACTCAGCACTTGTGCAGATTACATGACTTAATGCAGGAAATTATTTGCGTTCTGAAGTGTTAGCTCATGAGAAGATTCTTTTCCCTACACATGCTTGCTCAGTGACAGTGAGCACTTATTCATAGTCAGCTGCGTGCACGTGGGACAAAAAGTCCCTTTGATCCAGTTGGCTGACAAGATCCATAGTGAAGTACAGAACATCACACAACAACATGGACAAGGAACACAGGCTCCCAGATACACCTCAGAAAAGGTACATCCAAGGGAAGCCCAGGAAAGTGATGCTGGAGAACTCACCTTGGTTTCCTGCTATGACCCTGGGGGACTGAATTCCCTGGGAACAAAGCTGTAAATGACCACTCTGCACCTGGTCTCTCTGAGCAGACATCTTCCTCTCTGAGAAGACCCTGACTGGGAGAATTGGAACCAGGTATTCAGAGGCTGAATCCCAGAAGGGTGGGAAAGAAAAATGATGCTATGGAGTCAGCCCTGCAGTTTCTGCAGAAAAGGAGCAGACTCCTGAGGAGAGGGACCCCACCCCACAGGAAACTCATCCCTTGCCCAGCCCCTGTGAGGACCAAGTAAGAAGAGAAATGGAGGATCCCAGGGGAGTACAATTGCACTGAGAAGCTTCAGCTACAGAGTTGTAGTGAAGGGACTGTGTCCTGGCTGAGGGCAGGAGAGCAGACAACAAGTGATTCTGAGGCAGCAGGAGCCATGACTCCCCAGCCTCCCTCCCAAGCATGAAAGGAGCAGGAGCAGCCATAGACCAAGCTGTAGTCAAAGAGAAAGCCGGACACTGAGGGAGGGAGCTGGAGAAATGACCATCCCCTGTCTCAAACCACAGGTCCCCACTAGTACCTCCCATTGGACAAAGCCAATGAGATGCCTCCAGCAGAGGCCCCAGTATGATGTGTCATACAAGTTACTCTCCCAGGTGACAAAGCAGAGAAGGGAAGAATGGACCATGGATGGGGAACAAACAGATAGAAATCAACCAACACAAAAAGGACAAAGTCAAGAGCATGGAACAGGAGGAGGGAGGTAAACATGAGAATCCTTCAAGAATATATAGATCTTACTGTTCAAGTGAAGCATTTCAATACATTTGTGAATGCCTCATTTGTCTCCTTTCCCACATACTGTGAAAAACTCAGTGCTCTCCTTTAAGATACTAAGTTATTGTGGTTTAGATGCTTCCATCACTCAGAGTTCAGTTAGCAAACAGAAACCATGTCAATTAAAAAAGAAATTTTAATATAGGAATTATTAATGCCAGGCATGGAGGTTCATGCTTGTTATCCCAGCTACACAGGAGGCCATAGTGAAGACAGTCACTGTCTGAGGCTGGTCCAGGGAAAAAACTCAAGACCCTATCTGAAACATAATTAAAAAGCCAAAGGGCTGAGGAGCATGGTTCAAGTGGTAGGTTGCTAGTATCGCAAGCAAAAGGCAGTAAGTTCAAACACCAGTACCACCAAAAAAAAATAATAAAATACCCTCCTCTAACATCTATCAGCTTTCAAGAGTTTTAAAAGCTGTTTCAAACCAAGGGCAGCTGGGTACCAGTGGCTCATGCTTATAATCCTAGCTACACAGGAGGCATTGGTCAGGAGGATCAACGGTCAAAGCCAGCCCAGGCAAATAGTTTATGAGATCCTTTCTCAAAAATACCCAATACAAAAAAGGGCTGTTGGAGTGGCTTGAGAGATAGAGCACATGCCTAACATGCAGGAGACCCTGAGTTCAAACTCCAGTACCGCCAAAAAAACCACAAGAGAGAGAAGGAGGGAGGTAGGGAGTGAGGAAGGACAGAAGGAGGAAGGGAGTAAAGGGAGAGGGAGGGAGGGAGGGAGGGAGGGAGGGAGGAAGGGAGGGCGGGAGGGAGGGAGAGAGGAAGGAAGGAAGGAAGGAAGGAAGAAGGAAGGAGGGAAGGAAGGAAAGAAGGAAGGAAGGAAGGGTGAAAATAAAGAATCAAGGGTCAAAGACATTTATCAGAAACCTGTGGAAGAGACATGTGTGTTTGAGTCTGTGTATCTGTGTGTGTGTGTTTCTTACATTGTAACCCAAAGCATCTGGGAATTGCATCACAAAGAAAAGAACTAGAACTGCGTTGGCTTACAGTGTTCTCTCCAGTACAATTTATTGATAACCTAACATTTTGCCAAGTGGTAAAATAATGTTTCAGCAGAGGTAGTGACTCATGCCTATATTCCTACTTATGTGGGAAGCAGAGATTGGGAGGATCACTGAGAGCAGCTGGGGCAAAAAGTTTATGAGACCCTGTCTCAACCAGTGTCTGAGCACAGTTTTGCACACCTGTCATCCCAACTATGTGGGTAAGAGCACAGTTGGGTGGACATAGGTTCAGGCACAGTGAGACCCTATCTCAAAAATAACCAATGCAGCTGGTGCCAGTGGCTCATGTCTGTTATACTAGCTATGTAGGAGGCTGAGATCAGGAGGATTGCAGTTCAAAGTCAGTGTGGGCAAACAGTTAACAAGACCCCATCTCCAAAAAAAACAGCAAAATGGGCTGGAAGTGTGCCTCAAATTGTAGACTGCCTGCTTCACAAGCACAAAGCTCTTAGTTCAAACCCCAGATCTACAAAAAAAAAGAAAAGAAAAGAAAAAGTAACTGAATGAAGAGAGATGAAGAAACTGATTAATGTATACAAAAAAAATCCATGTGACAAGCAAAGAGAAAATATGTAAAGCTATTACAATCCTTATTTCTGGTCACAAGACCAGAGTGAGATCTACAAATTCTTTCCTCTATTTCCCATCCTGGGTCTTCTCACCCTCAGTAGAACAATCACTGCTCAGAGTTCCTTACCTGATATAGGGACCATACTTTTACCCTTGCAGCCCTTGATAGTCCTGCCTCTTCCAGGTTGCTGTGTCCAGTCATTAATCTTTACCGTGGGAATCAGAAGTACTCAGATGCAACACATCCATGGATGAGAGCCAGGCTCATGCTCAAAGCTTTCTGCAACTCACCTTCTTCATTTATACCTTACCCTGCCATTTGCTGATGGCTATGGTAGCAATTCTCTTCTTTCCTTGGTTGCAGTGTGGACACAAAGGCAGAATTCATACCCTAAACCTTACTTCTCTGAGTTAACACAGCACAACTTTCCCACTGGTAACAGAAATCTATTGAGGTTTGAAAAACTAGGTGTGTTCCATTCATCCCAGAAAAGGACATGCATAAAGTAGAGGATTCCATTCCTTTCCTCTTAAATAAAACTCCATCACCTATCCTAATCCAGGGAAAATTTAGGATGCAAACCTTAGTCTTCAGACAGTCTAATGCATAAAAATAGAGCTGGGGACCACGCTCAATCTCCTGCTACCTCTGCACACACTCAAGGAGGAGGATAAAGTGAGCTCCCCTTTGTTCTGCACAGCTATTCAGTCCTCAGCCTTTCACACCAAAGAGTATAAAAATCGCATGAATACCTTTTAATGCCAAAAGAAACATGATTTCCCATAGTTAAATTCATCCTTCTCTAAACCAGTTCAAACAAGTCAGCTTTTATCTTTTGCTATCTGAACACAAGGCATGTACAAGTCTCATAGTGACAGTGAATACCTGTGACTGAACACAGAGCAGCAGGACAAGGGTCCTGGACCATCCAGGACTTGTTCAGATGCTTTTGCCACAGGGAATCTGCAGTCCCACAAAGAACCACAGTGGTAGATGCCATGGAGACACAGCCTCCGGCTGGCAGGGGAGTAATGGAGATTTGCCCCATGGGGAAGCACAGCAACACCAGAGATGAGCTGAAACCTTGCTCTGGGAACTCAGAGCCTCCTCCAAAGAAGAACTGTCAACAGGCACAGGGAGCCTCTCAGAACCACTCACCATGGAACAGATGGTCAGAGACACATCTCCAGCCCCAAAACTGAAGTATGGAAAGAGAACCCCACAGAATGAAACCTCAGAGAAGGAGAAAATGTGGGACCCATCAGTCATGTTATAGAAGGAGCCATCACCTTCACTGTAATCCAGGAAAACACCCACCCTGCAGGGATCCTGCCTAAGGGATAAGGGAGTCTTAGGTTCCATACAGGCACAATATCCATCTGCAAACCGCCCCACAACCCTAAACCCCTTCTCCGGGCACTCTGTGTACCAGCCTTTGCTGGTGCAGAGTCCATAGGCTGCTGTTCCCATTCTCAATCTCCACCTCCCAGTGACACCTTCCTGATGTGATGCCCTTAAGGCCCAGCACACTAAAGAGGCCATCGGAGTTCCCAATGTTTTCTTTCCAGGTCAAGCGTGTCCTTTCATGAGAGATGGCAAGATCTGAGTGAGCAGAGTCTGGATCCAGAGTGACAGACCCTGCAGAGAGAGTTACCAAATCATACAAGGTCCCTCCTGACCCAAATGAGGCACACAGCTATTCTACCACCACCTCAAAGAATTAGGCCACCTAGGGGAGGAAGAAGCCCCCTTACCCCAGACAAAAGACTTTGACTCAAGACAATGGTGTCCAAGCTGGAGAAGGAATCAGAAGCCTGATTTAGGGGTTAAATATGTCACAGGGCCCTTGAGAACCAGTCACAGCTTTATCATTGTCACCTATGCCACCCACCCCAACTTCATTGAAGGTGCCAGCATCTCTGTCACCACACAGAACTTAAGGAGAGGCCAGAAGTGATGGAGGCAGCAGGAGGAGAACTAGAAAGAGCACAAAGTCACTCACATGCCTGGAACATTTCCTTCCTCCATCTACAAGAGAATCACATATTTCATGTTAAGGATTTGCAGACACTGTGCACATTAGGGTCAGCACCAAGTCTAATGAAACATAGTGATGTTGGAATTTCCGACATGGGGAAATGTGTTTGAAAATATTGTGCTGATCTAGTTATTCTTGAACACACACACACACACACACACACACACACACACACACACACACACACCCTACTGCAGTCTTCCCAGGAAGACTGGGCCATAAAACTCATCCTTATATCGATATGATGGATACCAAACTGAACAGAAAATGCATTGCCCATATTTCACTGCCATATTCAAATCCTAAAAGCTAGGGTTTCTTAAGATATAATTAGGGATATTAAAATTTCCAAGTCTTCCATTTACTGCTGAAGAACTGACTGAGCTGAACTTGTAGGTTGCCTCTAAGCCATGAGTAGAGAGAGAATTACACCTGCCTGAGGTGAATGTGAAGGATGACTACAAATCATGGCAGGAAGTCAGGATACAGAATCAGAGAAATCTTGCCTAGTTAGGCGGGCAATGCAGAGGTTTCTAGGATGGGAGAGAAAGAAGTTGAAGTGGGAAACTCATGTATCCATTCAGAGTCAGACACTAGTGACTGACCTCTTCCCCTTTTCACAGGCCCATGGAAGCAAAAATATCCCCTTAGGTGTGGGGGGAAACCAAAATGTTGGATCTAGTCATTTGCCTCCAACACTAATTGCCCAAAGAGATTGAAAACTTCCAGGAGAAACTCCACTTTGATTAACTATCACAGAGGTATATGTCCTAAGCTTCAAGATGGATGGATATATTAAATTCATGGTGAGGGGATTTTACAAACATAATCAAGATTAAGGTTCTTGAGAAGGGTAGGTTATCTTGAATTACCCAGGTGGGCCCACACTAATCACATGAACCCTTGAAAGCAGAGACCTTTCTTGGATCTGGTCAGAGAAACAAGATACCATCACAGACAGAACCAGGGTCACAAACATCCTGTGATGATGGATTTTGAATGGAAGAATGGTCTCACGGTCCAAGGAGTGCAGATAGCATCTAGAAGCTGGATAAGAGCCTCTAGAGAGGAACAAAGCTTTGCCCATGCCTTCTCAGACTTCTGACCTATAGAGCTGAATAAATTGTGTAGATTTAAGCCACTAAATTTGTGATGTTTTCTTTTGGCAGGAAACAGAACAACCTCCTTCCTAATATATAGGTGGTATATGCAACATGAAATAAAGCACTGATAACGGATGGTATCTGCAGAAAGCATGACATTCCCTTCCACCTGCACATCAGAAGATGAAGACCCAGAAAATCTTACATGCTCTCTGCTAAAAGGGGGAGAAACAGAGAGGTGCCTAGACAGCCAGCAAACCATGGAAGTTCTCTGATCAAGAGGAAGAAGCCATGAGGTTTACTAATTTTACCACAAGTGAAATTAGTATACTAATTTTGCCACAATCTGAACATGGACTTCACTTCACTGTCAGGAGATGGGAGAAGCAATAATAACCCCAACCAGCTAAATGGGACCTACCCCTTCTTAGCATATACCAGCCCAAGGGTCTTATAAACCAGATCAGACTCACCTCCCTATGGTGAGGACCTGAAATAACTAAGAGGAAGCATCTTTTACCCACTCTCTCAAGGTCACATGATCTCCTACAAACTCCATCCACCATTTAGGGATGAAGAAAGAAAGTTCACAGGCCAAAGCAAAGTCTGTATGTGTCATAACAATCAAAAGTGTATTCAATTGGAAAGCTTTTGCTCCAGCAGGGTAGACACTTTACAACACTCTTAAAACAATTAAAGAGACAACATTCTTAAAATGATAACAATTTTTCTTGCACATTTGGACTTAAATTTGGGCCCACCATTCCTGCTTATACAGGTTCAATCAGATAAACTGGCACTTCCATCCAACTTGATGAAAACTACATCACATAGAGTGACTGGGCCAGACCCAGATGATCCTGTGAGAAAAGTGAACTTCAATTTACTCATTTTTCACCAAGACATTAGTTGGTATCTAATTGTGATTTTCTATATAATTACTGAGAGAAGTCACCAAAGTGGAAGAAAGAGGAGAAGGAGGAAAAAACTGGAATTTAATTTTGAGATCACTAATGATTCAATTGTTCCCAGTGCATTTTAATGCACTCTTCACATAATTACCACTGAAAATATTTAATTTACAAATCATCGTTCCAATTTTACAAATAGACAAGAGCAGACATTTGTCAACCTCACATTATTAACCTGTCAGTGTGAAATGGTGATTTGAGTGTAGTAAATGAAATGGGGATTACAATGTAGTAATGTTGCTTTGTTGTTAGAAAATTCCAGTGATGCATAAAAATGCATAGACATATTAATTAAGCAGAGAAGGGAGAGATGATAAAAGAAGACTATCTGATCCTTACTTTTTCATAAACAATATCCAAGGAGATTAATAAGGTTCTCTAAGTTTGTTCCTTAGGCTTCCTTGAACCTGCAGCTCTTCTCTATCTGTCTCTCAGCGTCTATATCTTCGATATGAAAAAAATTTTCCAGTGCAGGACAAACAGCATGTTACAACAACTCAGAGAACACATATCCTAAACTCACCCCAGGGTTAAAGAGTCCTCCAGAAAACCCTTCACTGCATTTGGATCCCCTTAGCAAACTCCAGCCCCAACTGCTACTGGAAGGATGAGATGCTCTCATTAGCAGAGGAAAATATAATTAGTTGTTTAATTTTAAACGGCTAAAATAAATATAAGACTTTACAGAAATATCTCTAAGAGATATCTAAGCATTGGTTACATTCTATACTCCCAAATACCCTGCAAATTCTCTTTACACTCCCCAGTCAGACCACTTGGGTTTGATTTTCTAGTTCTTGTTCACCACTCCATGCCACTCAAAATTTCTACAGATGAGTCTTGGACACTCTGATTTCTTTCTCACCTCCTTCTTTCTTCTACCACCTCATCTTCTCTGATTTGTTCCCCACCCTTCCTCCAGTTAACAATTTTAACTTCTCTGGATCTCTCCTTTTACAGTCTTCACACTTTATCCCACAAAATCCCAACCAAACGTCAACCACAACAGGCAAAATACAATTCTCCTGAAGAATAAGAAAATGGCTGTTAACAATGGTAAGTTTCATTTTTGTTCCTGTAACACAAACATAAACAGGAAATGTTGTATATAATTTCAGAGTATCACAGATACTACCACCAGACCCATAAACATCCTGGAGCCTTGGAACGCAGAATCACACACCTGTTCCAAAACACCTACTTACTCAGCAACCAAGTACCCTTAGAGGAAGAAATCCTGCAAGGACAATGAGTCAGAACTTGAGCAAACAGGGAGAACACCAATATCCAGAAGACAAGGAAAAGAACTGGACCAAAAGGGCAGGAATTTCAAGTTAAAGGGATACACAACCAAGGACCTTCTTAATGAAGATCTGAGTCCTAAACTGCCAAGTATGATTTCTGAAATCTTCTGGAGACCAGCAACACCTGACCTACAGTCACTGCCATGCTCTATCCAATCTTTCTTCACAACTGAACTGGCCATTGTTACTGCACCAACAAGAAGTGTCAGTTCAACAAGTGCCCGCTGAGGGTAACTGCTAAACCTAAAAATGATCTGCAGTAGTAGAGGTTGGGTCGAGAGTAGAGGCAGATCTTTGATCCCAAGGAGGGGGTCCTGTGGTCTTCTGATGGAAGGTACAATAATGAAAAAGACAACAGGGATAACCAGTGATAATGAAGGGAATGGCAGAAGCTGGGAGAGGTCAGGCCAGAGGAAACATGAGAGTCACTTACCTGCATACAGCTGCGCCTTCCTCCAGGCTGAAAAGGAACACACCCTGGTGAGACCTCAGCCAAATAAAAAGCTCTGCTCAGCACAAACCTGTGGGTCCTTGATTCCCCTCATTTCTAAAGATGACCTTATCCCAGAAGGAGAGAGGGCAGAAAGGAAGTGGCTTCCTGCGACATGCAGCGACAGCAGGGCGTGCTGGGAAATTACCAGAACCACAGACCAGATGGGCTATATTGCAGGCTGATTTCCACCACCGTTGCACTGCTCTGTGATTTTTTTTTATGTCAAGTAGCTGTTTGTGCCTCAAAACCCACAATTATTCATATTCTATCTTTATTCAGTTTTTCCACTTAAAAATCAAGATGATACTCTGTGAAACATTTTAGAGAACAAAAGTAATGTGTAATTATCAGAACACATTAATATCCAGCCTGCTTTTGCAAAGATACATTTGAAAAATTACTGAAAAGGAGGAGTGGTTTCAGAATACGGGTGTGCAGTAATTTCCTGGGGAAAGGGCTCAACCATCACACTGGAAACAAGCATCACTATTCTGGAGAACACTCAGCTCATCCCAGCATATTCCCATGTGTGGTCAGCATCCCAGGCCTCTCTCCATCACTTTGATCAGCACCTTCACTTGTTGGAGAGAACAGATGTCCTAAATTTATATCATTTAATGAATTCCAACTCTGATTTTTTTAGCTTCCAGGTGCAGACCAAGGCTAGATGCATCAAAGGCTAAAATCAACCAAGTGGTGTGAGGCCAGGGTTGCAATAAGATCCAGAATTGCTGCCTCCAGAAGTCACCATCGAACCCTGGCCCCCTACATCTGGGTGGAAAACATTGGCCCTGATCTAAGAGAGCCCATGGACCAGTGTTCTATCTCCCACCAGGTTCCATTTCAGCCACCGAGGAATGGAGCCCACACATCATGCATGGAAAGAAACAAGAAGAGGGACTCTGGGCAAATAAGACACCATCTGGAAAGCCACTCATCAGCCAGGTAATCTGTCTTTCTCTGACCTGAAAAGCAACACACAGGAAGCAGTGATCTAGAAGAAGAATATCCGAGACTAAGAAAACGAAGAGCGTTCAGGAGAGAAAGCAGCACTTACCAGGAACTACCCGGAGTTCATCTGAAAAACAGAAAGAAACAGCATGAATTCCCATCCACAAG